CCCCTACCACACACACACACACACACACACACACACACACACACACGTCACAGGCTCACGCATCACACACACACACATATACCATGCACACATATATGCACACACACAGAGGTTTGTTTTTTGCTTTACATTTCACACAAATGGGAAACCATACCTATTACGTAGAAATTTTTTTTCACACACTATATCATGGAACTATATATTTATATAATTCATTCTCTTGTTGATTGCTATTTAATGATCTGTAGTTTGGCCGCACCAATGTTTTTTTTATTCCCAAATATTCTTGAGATCATACTCTATGTTATGATCCTCTTTTTTCACTTAGTATTAAATCAATTCCCTGTGTTATTAAATAGACTTTGTAAATATAATTTCAATGACGACATCACATTCAATGACTACATATCACAGAATATGAGTATATCATAATTTATTTAACCATAATTTGCTTTCTGCCAATTAAAAATAATACCATAATGAACATTAAGCTATGTCCACATTTCTGGTTATTTTCTTTAGGATATGAACACTTTTTAGAGTCTTTGTCCAAGTTACCAAATTGCTTTTTCTAGAAAGACTATAACTATCTGTTTTCCCACTGGCAATGATTGAGAGGTGCTCCCCACATCTTTTCTTAAGTGTTTATTCATTTGTTAGATAAAAGTGGTGTTTTGTCACTTTAATTTGCATTTCAGAAGATTCGTGAGGTTAGCTTTGTTCAAGTTCATTATCCCTTTGTAATTCTTAAGAAGGAGGTGATCATGGGCACACAGGGCCCTCCATTTCTAAATCAGTCCTTCCTCTTTCACCACCTGCCCTACTTCAGATGCTTCTTTCCCACCCTGGGCTCCAGGATGGCCCTCTCCTTCCTGGGTCTGCATCCCTTGCCATCGGCTCACAAGCCTCTCACTCCCTCCTCGGTCCCAGAGCTGGTCTCTGTCATGGCTTCTGTGCTTGGGGGTGCCCTTGCTCTGCCTCCCTGAGCCCCGCTGCCCTGGAGAACTGAACATAAGCCTAGAATTTTCAAGCAGGCTGCCAGGGTCCAGCATCAGACTGGGGTCAGTGCTGACCTTGGGCAGACACAGCCAGGGCCCTTCCTGCCTTGACGTGGGCCCCGGGGAAATGGAGGGCCGCCATGGGGGCCTCACCCGCTGTGACTTTATACAACTCTATCTCATCTTTTCCTTTCCCATTTTCCTCCTCTCCCCATTATTCCAACTCAGGCTTTAATTTTCACAAATGATACAATTTGGTGGTTTGGGGTTTCTGCAGGAGAATTTCTGTGATCCTCCGAACGCTGGGACCTGTTTGCCCTTGTTAGAGAAGAGGGACTCTGGACACTCTGCAGACCCCCGTCAGGCTGTGGTAATAAGCAGGGGCTGTTTGAGCTGCAAAGTGTAAACCTGGTCCTTCTTAGTGAGACTTCGCAGAAATCCCACTGGAGATTTTTCTGCCCCTGCCCTGTCTACTTTCCTTCATAATGATAAATGGCTGAAAAGAAAACTATCTAATCTCCAAACTGCACGCTTTTTTCCTCCTCTTTCTTCAAGGAGAGAAAGAAGAACACAGTCACATAAAACAGAGTTCTTCATCGCCTGCTTCTCAGGAGACAGTTCTTTCCCTTTTCATCCCGGGCCTGTTTCTGATCTCTGATGGGCTCGCATTGAAAGCTCCGGGCCCGGCCTCTCTAATCAGCTGCGACAGACGACAGACGCTGCGGTTGCTTGGGTTGCCCATCGAAATTGAATTGATTACCCGGCCCCTTTGCCATTTTGTTCGGCACACAATTGCTTAATAGCTGTCACCTTGGCTTTCAGTCCCAGCCGGCTGCAGGCTGACTGGTTCCCATTACTCGGGATGGCCAGTGCAAGTTCATCACCTTTACAGGATGTCCCTGATTGATTCCGTATGCCTTCGAGACCTGTAATATATTTGCATAGGAGGGAGCATGGCGTTGTTGGGGGACGGAATAGAAGTCTCTTGGCTGCAGGAACTGCCAGGTTTAGCTGCGGGGCTCGCCATATTTGAATCATTACCAGGGCTTCTTGTCAGGAGTCTGGCCTCTGCTGACATAACTGCTAATGAATTTGTAAATTTTTTTTAAAAATACAAAACAACCCAGCGTGTCCTAACCTTTGCTGTCGCCACCTGCTGCCTGGGTGGGGACGGCCAACAGAACCATGCTTTTCCTGCCTGAGCTTGTGCTGCCCTTTTGAAATGACAGTCTCTCCCTCCCTGCTCCCTTCCCCTGCCTGCCAAGCGGGAGAACTGGGACTCGGAAGGGGACATCTTTCAAGTGAAATCCTTTGCACTGGGAACTACTTCAATTAGACAGCAGGGGGAATGTTAACATGCCCTCCGGCCTTTTAAGTGGGTTTTAATTTTATGTTGTAAGATAAGACACTGCAAGGCTGGGGCTGCTACTTCTCCAGCAGGCTCCATTAGTGGGGCTAGCCGAGGCCTCTTGACCCCCTGAGGCCCAGCCAAGACTGGAAGTTGGTTTGGTTTTTTAACAATTTGTCAGTCTGACCCGGCTTCTCTTTCATTCCCCCTTTTGTTGTTTCAGGCTCTTCTGTCGTTGGAGGGCAGTTGGGTAGCCGAGCTGCAGCTGAGAGCCTAGCCCCGTTTCCCCAAGCGGTTGGGCCTGGGCCGGCCAGCAGAGCCCTGGTTGGGGCGGCGGGGGGTGGGGGTTGCTGCCTGTCTATGGCCTCACCACTGAACAGTCATCTTTTTTTTTTTTTTTCCCCCCGCTTCCCAGGCAGGGCACTGGAGAAGCAGACACTTTTCATGTGGCAGGTTTCTGGCCCGATGATGTATGACCTGTTGGCGCTACTGAATGGTGCCCTTTGTTCCAGGGTATCCCATGTGCCCCCTTTTTATTGACTTGTTGATTCAGAGGGGCAGGAAAGTTCCACAAATCCCACTGCAGGCCCTGCTCTCTAGCCGTGCCCAGGTGGGGAAGCCCAAGAACTTCATGCTTCCCAGAAAGCAGGTAGGAAGACAGGGGCCGCCTAGAGGCAGGATATCCCTTAAGAGACAGTTTCTTTACCTTGGACTCAGGCAACTGTGTGTCTGGAGAGAGCCTGGGAACCCACGTCTAGCTCCCAGCCCTCTGTCTGGGGTTCTAGAAGGTGTGGGGTATCCCAGAATGCAGTCTTCACCCAGAAAGAAAAGCGCAGAGCAGGTGTGAGTTAAGGAAGAGCCCACCCCCTTCCCTGTCCCCTAAGCCAGGTTCAGTTAAGTTTTTCTCTGTGACCAACGAGCCCAAGATGGGAACCAATAGCCAAGGAGAGAAGGAGCTTGGCCTCCTTCTGCAGGAAGGAGTCTCCTCTAGAGAGCAGCCTTAAAGCCACAGGGAAGGACCCAGGGGAAACAGATGACAAGGTTGACTTTTTACCCAGCAGGAAACCTCATCTTCATGAAGATGAGGGTTTAAAGAACACCCTTATCCTTGCCTTCTCTCCTCCTGGCTTCCCAGACCAGCCTGCTGTGGAGACGGTGGGGTGACAATGAGCAGCTTTGGAAAAGGAGCGGCAAAGGGAGGAGGCAAGAGGCAAGGGGTTGTAAGGAGGGGGACCCAACACACCTTCCCACACCAGCTTCTCTTCTAATCTAATAGGGTGAACCTGGACTGAATTTCATCTCCCCTTTTTCCAGTCCATCTTACGGCCACGCTTTAGGGATCTGGCTGAGGAGTGGGAAGCAGAGGTCTCTTCCCGGCCTTGATTCCTTTCTCTGGGGTGCAGGTGCCTGATGAGCTCATACATCTGACCTCTCCAGGAAGCCCCAGGCTCTCCCTCCAACCTGCTCTTCAGTTCTTTGTCTGAAGAAGCCACACAAATCCCACCAAGAATTCCCTACTTGTAAGACCACCTCCCCCAAATCACCAGGCTGTGTGGTGACTACGGAAAGGGGACGGATTCTGGTGTATTGCCTGCCTTGCCCTTCTGGGGTCTTTGTGGGCCCTGGAATCCAGACCTGTCATCTGGGGAGTAGCATGAGATCAGAGGTACAATTGTTCCATTGGCTCTAAATTCCTTCACTTGAGGCTCAGAGGCTCCATGGTACAAATGCTCAGAGGCACAGAAAAAAATACCAGCAAAAGGGACGCTGAGACCATTGCTGAGCCAAGAAATGACAATTCAGTAGTAAAGAGCATCCACACACTTCACAGTTGTAAAATGGCTTTATGTTCCGGTATGTAAAATAAAATGTCCATGCTATATAACAAAACACTTGAAGTTCCATATCCCCTGTTGGCTATTGTGTCTTCTAATAAAATTTAATCTGTGGTGTGTGTGTGTCCGTTTATATATATATATATATATATTTATTTATTTATTTATTATTTATTTATATGTTTTATCTAAACCATTCTTAGTTTTTAACATCAAATGTGTAATAAAAATTTAAATAGATGTCTTTCCAAATACCCCCTCCAGCGTTCATTTTATTAAGTTTATTCGTTTGTAAAAAGCAAAGCTGAATTTGACATGTGGCCTGCATTTGTGTGTGTGAGAGAGAGAGAGAGAGAGAGAGAGAGAGATTTATTTATTTATATAATATATAAATAGCTATTCAGCATGCAAAGAGTTTAGTGATTTCCCAAATTTGATTACAGAGTTCACACTAGCCACATGGATGGTCTGGTGATATTCAATGCTAAAGAGCTGGGCTGGGGACTACACCATCCACCTCACTGGAGAATTATCCTCGCTTCTCTGAGCTCACTGGCCAAACGTACTGGAAGAAATGAATGTTTTCTCGATTCTTGTTTTTTTTTCTGTTGGGCTTTCTTGCTCCAGAGCGAAGATTTTCTGGGAGCAGAACAGGCTCTGCCTGGCAAGCAGCTCCAATGTGGTCTCCTGGGGACGTTGCCAGGTGAAGTGTGTTTCATAACTGCCAGTCATTGGTTGCAGATGGTGCCTGAGAGGCCGAGAGTCTTGTACACCAGAGAGAGTGAGAAACTGCACGTCGGGGGCTGAGGGGAAGGGCTTTGTACCATGTAAGAAAACCTGAATGATGACAGAGATGCTATTGGTTGCATTTTCCCTCCTCTTGAAGGAAAAAAAATTTTTTTAATACCCATCAGGTGGCACTTAGCACATGACCTTCTCTGAAAGTCATCCCTCAGACCTCAGGACTCCAGGGATCAATTTCCAGGCCACTGACTGAGCCGTGAGCTCTACTCTCAGAGCGCACTTTGTGGCTTAGCCCAGCGCATGTCTCAGGTCGTCTCACGGAATCTCCAGGAGAGTGGGCCCCCTGCTCCCCAGACAAGATTTCCAGCTTCCCTTGCTAACAGAAGGCCAGGAACTCAAAGATGTGCACAGAGCCCTCCCACCCCAGCTAAGCGAGTCTTCCCCCAACCTTCCCTGTGAGAGAGACCTCACCACCTGGCCCCTGAGTGAATCAAAGATTATATTATCAAAACCTCTGAGTAACTCACATGAACTCTCCACTGCCGTCCCATCCCTGCACCTGTCAAGAGATGTGAGCTAACAGTGGACCCAGGTCCTGCAGCCCAAGTCACTTCTTAGATAATTGCGGTTCTTTCCCTTGTCGTGGCCTCAGCTGTACGTCCGAAGGCGGATGCTCTCCAAACGTGCGCATGCACACACGCGCGCGCGCACGCTCACACACGCACACGCGCACACACGCACACATACACGCAGACACCCCACCCTTTGAAATACCTTCCTGTGTTTCTCGGTAGCGCAGGCCACCCACAGAGGTTAACACTGGATTAACATGGTCCTGGGGCTGTCGCCGGACATGGGAGTCATCCGTCAGTCCAGTTCTCCACAGTTCCCATTCCTGAATGATACTGTAAGGACGCTTCCCGGGACAGGGAGAAGCTCTGAGAGTAGAGAAACTCATTGGCAGCATTCAGGTGTGGCGAGGGGGGCTTCCTCTCGCACACGGCGGGGAGGCCGCGCTCCCTCGGGAAGGAGGCAGCGGGCCCCCGCTCCCGGACCTGAGCCTGTGAGAGCTGATTGTAGACGCTGAAGTGCGTGTTTCCCGGCGGCTGGGAGCTCTGAGCGGAGAGAGTGGGCAGCCGAGGCATCATAGTGGTGGCGGTGAAGTGGGCGGGGAAAGACTGGTAAGGCACAGTCTCCATTGTCTGAACACTGTAGCTTGTGTACGGGGAGACTGACGTCCACATGTTACAGCTCAGGGGGGGTGGGGGCAAGTCGTCCACCCCAGACACCCCGGCAATCTCGGGCCCCGAACCTGAGTACATACAGGCTTCTCTTGGGGTCACCTCACTGCAGTAGGAGGGGCTCAGCATCTGCTGGTCGTAGGGAGGGGGAGAACGGAAATAATGATCCTCTCCCACTGCAGGGGGAGCTTCCAGATAGGATCGCTTGCAAGGTAGGTCCAGATGGCGGGCACTGTCTGCTGGAAGACAAAGAAACCTTCAGGAAGAGCCATATTCCACCAGCCCAGGGCCTGGAACCCTCCTTTTGGATGCCAAGATGGCCTACCATTGTCATGCAGGCCTTGCCCTCGCCCCATGTGGCCGTGGCACTTCCAGAATCATTTTAATCAGCTACAGCTTTTATAAGGCGGCAGCAGCCAAGAAGTGGTCAGATTATGGACCCTGCTCAGAGGCCACAGGGGACACCACATCAGAGGACACCCAGTGATATGGTTAGCCAGGCGGCATATAGCTTTCATCCTTTGCCACCGTGACTCTTAGGGATGGGAAGAGGCCTTAATGTGCACTGGCATTCTTAGGAGAGGCCCACCCTGGCCAAGGAAAGTAGAGGCAATTGCCAGGCCGAAACAGGCCCAGAGGCCACATCTGTCTGAATTAGCCAGAAAATTAAAGCCACAATGTTTCTGCCTTCATCCTCAGCTCCCAGGAAGGCCTTAGCAAGCGAAAGCTACTCGCAGGCACGTTCCTGTTGCTTTTAGAAGAGGAAGTAAACCCTACATGTGTTCAAAGGAGTCCCAGCAGATTGTTATTATACAGAGTCCAACCGAACAGTGTTTACAAAATTAAGAAATGGAGCTGATAATAAGTAAAAGGTGACTTGGACTTTTAAGGCTAAGCTGATACTCTCTTTGGGGAAAGATGACATCAGCTGCCCCAAACCACATATGTGTGTGTCTTTCGACATCCTCAACCATGACTGTCTGGAGTGGCACATCCTCCCCTGGGACCCAGGGATGACCCAGGCCTGAGGATTGGCAACAGCCCACTCAACAAATTGAAGGACACTCGTCCAATGGCTTCACTTGGCCTCCCTCCCCTTTCTCCAGGGATTCATTCTGGGAGCCGTGTGTGTGCACAGGGCAGGGTGGCCTGGGGAGTAAGTGGACTGAGTTTGAGGGCTTGCACTTACCTCTCCCCTCTGCCCCTCTGGAAGCCTCTTCCCTGAGGAGGAGGAACTTGCTTCTCTCTCTTACCCGGCTCTCTCGTCATCCCTCATTCATCCCTCCTCTCTATCCCCCCTCCAAGTTCCTCCTTTCCCTCAAGAGCATGAAGCTCTTGGACTTGGAACGTGGCCCAGTCACTCTAGGTCAGGGGTGAGCAAACTTTTTCTGGAAAAGGCCGGATAGTAAATATTTTAGGCTCTGTGGGCTGTAATGGAATCTGTTGCAGCCATTTGACCCTGCTGGTGTCACATGAAAGTGGCTACAGACAGCAGGTAAACAAATGGGTATGTCTGTGTTCCAATACAATTTATTTATGGATATTAAAATTCATATAATTTCACATATGAAATAACCATCCTTTGATTTTTTTTCAACTCTTAAAAAAATGTCAAACCATTTTTTATGGCTCACAGGCCAGACAAAACCAGACAACAGTCCAGATTTGGATCAAGGGCCACAGTTTGCCGACCCCTGTTCTAGGCCATTCGTTCTTTTTTTTTTTTTTTTTAATATTTCATTTATTTATTTAACAGAGAGCGAGAGAGAGCACAAGCAGGGGAAGTGGCAGGCAGAGGGAGAAGCAGGCTTCCTGCTGAGCAGGGAGCCCGATGCGGGGCTCGATCCCAGACCTGAGCTGAAGGCAGCCGCTTAACTGACTGAGCCACCCAGGTGCCCCTAGGCCATTCGTTCTAATAGGACTGGAGCAGAGGGTACCCAGAGCCCTACCAGCAGCTCCCTAGGAGCTAGGTGGAGAGAACATTCTGGATTCTAAGGAAAAGTCTCCCAACTCATTCCCAAGAGAATTTCAGGGGCCCTGAGAGTTCTTCTGGTATAAATGATAATCATCTGTATTATAGATGGAGAATGTGACACCAGACCCGGTACCAGAGTAGATGCTCAAGGCTCCTCTTCAAAGAAAACGAAAACAGTTCTTTTGCCTGGCTTCCTGGCCCCCAATCTACATCCACATAGCAGATTTCCATTCATAACAATGGAATCTCTTTGCAGATCCTGGCATGATGAGGTGGGGAGCCTGTTCTCATGACTCTGGGTCACCCCTGTTTTAGGATTGATGGTGCTTTGATAAATGACAGCCCTAATGCCCATACCTCTGGACCCTGAGGCTTCAGCCTCTTCCCAGGCTTAGAGACAGAGTCCACTTGATTCTGTGTGATGTGCCCACCCTGCAGAGGCTCTGAGCAGTGGCTATAAAGAACACCTGGCCCAGGCAGGGGTACCAACCGGGGTTCTGGGGACACCAAGGCCATAAGCTGTCCATGGGGATTCTGAAGGCTGCATTAAAATCAAAAATCAACATCTCTGCACTAAGCCGGGCCATGGCCTCTAACCCTCTAACCCTCCAGGCTTGTTCTCCCAGACCACACGATAACCAGGTGTGTGTGTGTGTGTGTGTGTGTGTGTGTACGTGCACACATATGCACACAGGTGTGTGCCCACATAGGTGTGCATGTTCGCACATATGATGGAGAGTGTTTGTAGGAAGGGCTTTACCCCTTGTCTGACCCTCTAGGGCTTCTGGACTAGGAGAGAGCTACCTCGTCTTTTCAGGCAGTGATAGAAGAGGCTTGAGTCCCTCTGGGCCGGGAAGGTGTTGAGGGGAAGGTCCTGTGGCTCAGCTGCAGCAAACTGCATGTGAGCCCCATTCTCATACTGGTAGTGCTGGAGCGCCTGGTGGGCACCATGCAGGGGGCTGACGTCAGGCTTGGCTGAGAGCTGGGTGGAGACGAGCCTCTGCCTCACGATGCTTTTGGAGATCACAGGATATTCTTTGCTGGAGAGGTGGGGAGGACAGGGACAGGGAGACAGCAAGAGAGTAAAGATACTTGGAGGGCTACCGGGTCTGTGGGCCTGAACCTAGTCTGCGCCCCACACCCCCTACCACCACCACCCCCCCCACCGGGCCAGGCAGCCCCACCTCTGCAACCGGGCTACACGCAGGTCACTGTCGTCACTGCCCCGGAATCCCTTGGCAAAAGGGTTGTTCTCAATCTTCAGCTGTGTGATCTGTCAGGAGAGGACACACAGAGTCGCTGGGGTAGAGGACTGGGCTGGCTGCTGGCCCTCCTCCCCTGTCCCAGACCGTTCAGAGCTCCCAGCAGAGTCCCGGGAAGGTGCACGCTCCAGCCCTCAGCCAGCCGGCCAGCAGCCTCGCCACATCCTCCCGGCGCTCACCATTCACGGCTGGCTCCTTGCTGGCTTCTGACCATTCTACTCACTGCAGACCTTCTGATTCCGTCTCCTGTTCTCCTGCCCCACTGGGCTACCTGCATGCTCAACAGCTTCCCATCTGTGTCACCCCGTCCAGGGCATCTGCCACATCAGCTTCTGAGGGACCGTACTAAATGCAAATCTGTCACTCTGAACGCCTGAATGCCTGAAATCTGCCACAGCCTATGGCCCCTCCTCAATCCCCCCCAGCCCACCTGGCCAGTCCCTCGCACAATGTGACAAGCCCCCTGAGAAGGGTCGCCCGGGCAGAGGCAGAGAGACAGGGGCGAGTGGCCTGTGCAGGGATCCGGAGGCGGTTTGGGGTGGTCAGGCAGGGGAGGGGGTGTGATGGGGAGGGAGGTGGACCCGTCTGACCACCGGCTGACCACAGGCTCAGTCTCTGGCCTCCCACACAGCTGACCGTGCCCTGAGGCTCCTTTCCCCAATTCATTCCCTTTTCCTGGCAGGCCCAGAGTCTGACCTTTGAATCCCACCAGGGCGAAGAAGGTTATAGAACAAAATGGCCCAACACTCAAGCCACAAGACAAGTTCCACGCTCTTGGTTCTTATAGTTGCCAGCTTCGTCCAACCCCCATAATGATGTCGCCCTGGAGATTTAGGAGTCTGGTCTCTCTTCCTGCTCAGCATTTGCTTTCTCGCTGCTCTGAGGGACAGCCCAGGTGTCCCCGGCGCCTCCACCTCAGTGCAGGGGGGCTTCCCTTCCTGCCTCCCTACTGGCACAGAAATGCCACGCAGGGTCAGTGGTGGGGGCTGGGGGGTGGCTGTACCTTGTGATTCTGGTAGGAGGTCACAGAGATGAAGGAAGTCTCTGGGAACACATGGGTGCAGAAGGCTGTGTTTTTGGAGCCGAAAGCGTTGTTCTCATCAGCCTTCACGATGTGTAGCCGTGGCTGGTACTTGTGCATGGAGTTGAGGATGATCTGGAAGAGAAGGGTCTCTTTCTGAGCTCCAGGTCCTCACCCTCTTGGCCCTGGTCTCAGTCAGCTGGCCTTGGGCTGACTTTCATTCTCCTTAAAAGCCCAGGTTCCAGGGCCTGACTCCTGGCACAGGCCAGAAAGGTGCTATACATAACTTATCTCCCTCAGGTTTCCTGCTCCAGCTGCCCCTTCACCCTGCTCCTCACCCCTCCAATCCCCCCCCCCCCGCCTGCTGCCCTGCGACCTGCCTTTCCTAGAGATGCCTGCCAGGGTATGCAGCATGGGGGAGGAGCTGAGGAAAATGTCCCACTCCAACTTTTTTCATCTGTTTCAACACTTGCAGAGGCCTGCTGAAGGGGTTCCCAGATGCATCCTGCCCTCAGACCTGCTCAAGGCTGCTCACAGGCCAGAGGGAAGCTCCATCATGGGCTAGAGTTCCAGGTGCCAAGGTAGGAGATGGCAAAGTTCCAGAAATAATGCCAGAGAAGGCCAGAAGCCCCCCCGCACCTATGGGCCCTCAAGGCCGCCTGGGGCTGGGGAGGCGGGTCGCCCCACCAGGCCAGGAGAGCCCAGGAGGCTTGGCCCCGGAGCCCTGGGAGTAACACACAGTAGTTCCTGCTCCAAACCTGCTTCATTCGGCCGTGCCCCACGGTAGCGGCTGCATCATGTGCCATTAAAATGTATTTTTTATCGTTGACATTTGCCAGACGCCTTCCCCATTGGAGGCAGGACCAGGAATTTGGGGCATTTTATCAGCACCGCTGCTTTTGTTAACCCTTTGGCTCCTGTCCTGGCTGGGCAAGGCTGTGGTCCTCTGGCCCCATTATTCTCTGAGCTCCTTTCTCTCCTTCCTTTCCTTCTAGGGATGCCCCTTCCTGGGCTAGCCCTTCTGGCTCCCACCCTTCCCGGTTCCCAGGGATAGGCACAGGGCAAGACTAAACCCCTGAGGGACCAGAGTGCCACAAGAAGGGCTAGAACCAGGCTCTTCCACGGCTTGCCCAGGCAGAAGCGTTAGTCTGGGAAGGTGCCACATTTGGCACACCCTGGGGACAGAGACAGCCCAGAGGGCAGGCACAGCTGAGGATTAGGTGGGTCAGGAGCTGGGCTGTGGCCTCCGGCCTTCCCAGGGCTCCTTGGCTTGGCTGGGTCGCGCCACCTAGCAGGGCTAGCTTTTCTGCTTTCTGCACTGGCTGCGCTGGGTCGCGCCACCTAGCAGGGCTAGCTTTTCTGCCTTCTGCACTGGCTGCGCTGGGTCGCGCCACCTAGCAAGGCTAGCTTTTCTGCCTTCTGCACTGGCTGCGCTGGGTCGCGCCATCTAGCAGGGCTAGCTTTTCTGCCTTCTGCACTGGCTGCGCTGGGTCACGCCATGTAGCAGGGCTAGCTTTTCTGCCTTCTGCGCTGGCTGTGCCCCCTTCCACCCCCAGTGACAAACCTCTGGATCCTCTCGGGGCAGGTACAGAGCACCCCAAACCCCCAGCCGGGTCCTGCAGCTGGGGACCTACTGCCCAACTGGAGCCTGCCAGATAGACAAACTCAGAGTGGACACAAGTCTTGCCTTGGGAGGCCTCCATGGACATCTGTTTCCAGGAGCCTGGGGAATGGGTCTTGGGAAATTTCACCTCCCAGTCCCTTTAGGTTACTCTGTCACCCCACACTGTCCCCCAGCTGCAGGAGTCCACAAAGGACCCAAGTCCCCAGAAGACCCAGAAACTAAATCCCTAGGAGGTGGTCTAGATGCCTCCAGAAGTCCCCAGAGTCCCACCTCTGGGCCTTTTCACATGTGGTTCCCTCTGCTTGATCTTCCTTTCCCCTTCTCTCTCACCTTCTAGGGTTATCATCTCAAGGCCCAACCCTTCTGGGAAGCCTTCCCAGATCACTGGGTCCTGTTGTGAACCCCTGATTCTGAAACTTCCTCCCCATGCATTGTCTACTGGGCTGTCGTGTTGCTTCCTAGTGGTTTCCTGTTTCCCCTTGTCCTTTCAATTAAACTGTAAACTCCTCAAGAGAAAAAGAGAAAGAGCCATATCTTTTACTCCTTTTGTACCTCTGGGCTCCTTTACCCCCAGACAGGAACTAGTAAGTGCAAGGCAGGATTACAGGAGTGGGAAGACCTGGGCCATGACCGCAAACTCTCCATCCCTTCCTCTCCTATCTTCCTTTGCTCGCTAGAAACAAGGTAGCCTCTAAGGCATTTTTCAGGTCAAACCTCAAGGTTAAACCTGTGCACAGACAAGTTCTCCATGAGCGCGGGCTTGCTGCAGCTCCCTGGCGGCGGGACTAGCCCTGGCCACGCGGGCTCTTGTAGGGTGGGGAGAACACAGACGATGGACTGACAGACCTCAGCAGATGCAGACACCTGCACAGAGAGGCTGGGCTGTCCCTTAAGGACACCGTCAGCCAGGTGACAGCAGCTGCCCTGCTCTTCTGCCACCTGGGGAGGCCTAGGCTGTATCAGTCCGGCCAGAGCCCTGGGTATCATCAGGCTCCCTGCTCCTTACTGTCACTCACCTCCAGGTCCAGTCAGTGACCAAGTCCTGTGACTCCATCCACAAGATAAAAGCCTCTCTGTTCCCACTGCCCAGCCCTGATTCTGCCCGCCCCCCCCAATCTCTCTCTGGGTTTGGGACCACCTCCTCCCTGTCTCCATCTCCATTTTCACCTGCTACATCAGATCATGTCACTCCCTTGCTTAGAACCTTCCAGTTCATCCAGGAAGGCTGTCCACTTGCTTGTATTTCCTCCTCTTGCCCCCCAAGTTCTCCTCCCCCCATCCCTGCCAGCATTTAGAGCTCAATAAATGTCTTATATTCATAATGCCACCTTTGATGGTTTCCTCTTGCCCCTTGAGATAAAGGCCGAACTCCTTAGCCTATCAGGCAAGGTCCTCCATTGACTGAAGTGGAGAGATTGCCAAACACACCTTCTAGGGGAGGGACCCAGACTGGCTGGCAGGGAAAACTGGGAAGAAAGTGCCAGACCTGCAGGGGCAGGAAGGAGCCACTAGGGGAGTGCAATCCCAGACACAGAGAAGTCAGGAAGGGTCTAGAAGCCTCTATGGATCTCTGCTCAGCAGCAGCAAGTCTTGCGCAAGCTCTTTCCATCCAGTCATTGGGGTGCCTATCTGTAAAGGGAGGCCTTCGACTAAGAAGTGGTCCCAAACACCCCTCCTAACTCGGACAGTCTGGAACCTGGACAGGTGTCTGGAAGAAAGTCCTGCTCTTTGAACCAACGCAAATTTAAACTGGCGCCTCAGCCCCAACAGCCCAGCAGAATGTAAGACCAACTCCGTGACTCATACCTGGCTTTACTCGGAAGTTCCTCAGGCGCCACATTAATCTCTTTTGCCAGAGTCTCACATTTATATGTGTGGCAGAGGACGTTGGGCCAAAGAGACCAGCCACATCAACAAACCCCACTACATGACTGGTCCCATCATTGTTCTACAGAAATGGGATTCATTATATTCTGGCGACAGTTCAGAAGCCTGTTCTATTTTAACAAACTGTGATAGCGCCAAACATCCATCTCCTTGAGAGATCACCCTAGCATGCTTGGTCAATGAGGTTGAGATTTATCTGCATTAGAATCAAAGAACATTAGCACACGGAGAGGCAGACCTTAGAAATCATTCTAGTCCAACCTCCTAATTTACAGATGAGGAACAGGAGGCTTGTAGTGGGAACGTGACTTGCCCAAGAACACATAGCTGGTTGGAGACAGAATCCTGAGAAGATCCCAGATGGCCTTTGAGAGAGCACACACTGCTCTCAGCAACACGCTTAGAAATTAATGATCAAGTGTCAACCCAACACTGTAAGAGACAAGGATTCACCAGGCCCTAATGTCCATCACAGAACATAGAGTATCTGGATGCTAGCCACAAAAATGTGGCTAATGTCCATTGTGTCATAGATTAAAACCAGATTTTCCCCTGTGTCATAATTTTACTTTCTAAGACTACCTCCTCCATCCTCCTTCCTACCCTCTCCAGTCCTGCAAAGAGGTAAGGATGGGGACAGGATTCGTCTACAGCTTACAAAGAAAGAGGAGAAAACTGAGACCCAGAAAGGTAAGCAATTGGCTGAAAGACTATCCAAACTAAGACTGAGTCGGGCGGCCCATTAGCCAACTCACGAGGCCTTGGCCAGATGTGCCTTAGGCCTCGCTCCCAGGGCGGCAGCCCAGCCCAGGGGCCTGGAAAGCCTTCTGCTTTCTCTCAGAGACACTGCGGTGTTTACAGAGCATAGCCGACGTGCCAGGCCCTGTGCTGAGGAGCTAAGTACTCTTTACAATGGCCCTATAAAGTAGGCATTATTACTGGGCACATTAGGCACAGATGAGGGGGACTGTGGCTTGGGGAGGTGAAGGCATTTGCCCAACCTCAGACAGCCAGTGGGAGGCGGAGCTAGCCTGAGCTCATACTTGTACCTGGCTGGGGAGCACCAGACCTGATCCGGAGTACCTGGCTGGGGAGCATCAGGCCTGACCGGGAGTTGTACGGGGCAGGTATATCTCCCAATGCACCCAGGAAGGGCTCGGCATTTTGTTTTTTTGTTGTTGTTTTTTTTTAAAGATTTTATTTATTTATTTGAAAGAGAGAGAATGAGAGATAGAGAGCATGAGAGGGAAGAGGGTCAGAGGGAGAAGCAGACCCCCTGCCGAGCAGGAAGTCCGATGTGGGACTCAATCCCGGGACTCCAGGATCATGACCTGAGCTGAAGGCAGTCATTTAACCAACTGAGCCACCCAGGCACCCTACAATGGTGATTTAAAACCTCGTGGTTTCCTATCTAGTGGGGGAAGTCACAACAGTAATCCAAAAATCAGGCAAAAGGAAGTAGTGAGAAGATGTACTGGACCAAAGACTACATTTACCTTTTTATTTATTCATTTATTTATTCTTAAAGCTTATCTATTTTTATCTTTTTCATTTTTTTAAGACTTTTTTTTTTTTTTTTTTGGTCAGAGAGAGCGAGCACAAGCAGGGGGAGGGGTAGAAAGAG